TTTCCCCAGCTATTCCAGTCATGTGCACCACAGTTTTCCTACTAACCTTCTCTGAGTCTGATAGTGTCTGGATATAAACCTTCGCGGCCTCTATGTGATCCTCAGTAATGTAATCGGTATTAATCAGAACGTCTCTTATACCAAACAAACCTAAAATATAATCAAACAATGAGTAAATAAATTGTGCATGGAAGGACTGAAATATCTTCAAAACAAAGTACATAACACTTACTTTTCTTTGGACGTTTACGTCCACCGATCTGCTGAAAGGGTGAAAGAACATACTTTGACTTTTTTCTCTTGCGTTTCCCATCATTCTCCTCAGTGCCACTTTCTATCGCATTTTTTATACGTGTGTTCAGACTATCCATACTAATCTCCTCAGATTTATCGGCGCTAGACCCGTCTGACACTGCATTTATATTCTTGGGGGTTGATGTAACAGCTGGAAAGTCATTCGTGTCTACCGTTGCAAAAGATGGGTCGGTTGATTTACCATTCTCGTCAATAACGAAGGGGTCCCCTTCATCTCCTGTACCGGGTGTGTTGAGATGCATACCTTTCTCACGTGCGGACTTCTTCCCGTTCCCATTGGTGATGGATGCCTCCACCCCGTTGTCCTTATCGTCCTTTGCTGGAGTTGATTTTACATCTGGAAAATATTTTGACGGACCATACCTCCTCATCCAGTTCTCACTGTGCTCCACAAACTCAACATTAGTAAACCCTCTGTTTGTCTTGAAGACAAGACCTTTGTTCTCCAGCTCCTCCAGTACTATCTGCAATAACACATGGGAAGCATTAAGTACATGCAAAGAATATGCATAATCTCATGTAATTTGAAGAACACATCACTAATTACCTCAGCACATTTTTTAGGGACAAGGCGAATTTCTTTCTGCATATCTTTGATGCTTTTCATAATTTGATCTAAGGTCGTGTCCTTGCTCGATGAAGCCTCGTCTCTATTTTCTTTCCTGTTCCGCGATCGACCTGTTCTATCAACTGGCTCAGATTCTTCCTCCACAAATTTCCCCTCTTGAGCAATTATCATCTGTCTGTGCTTCTCACTTATTATGTCATCAACCTGTGCCATGTTAAATCATGTAAAATTACTCACCATGAAAAACGTTCCATAACTCCATGCATGCAAACCATAAATACTTACCCTCCCATTCCCGCGACCGTATGATGTGTCGTACGCATCACGCTTCATAGCCTCGACTTCTGGCCAGTTAAGCATCAGCGGATACTCATGCGCCAGTGGATCAAATGTCTCGTCATCAAGTGGCTGCACTTTCTCCCAAAACAAGTACTGCATGAACATGAAATATATTACCAATCTTAATAGTTCAGCCTATAGTTCGAAATGAAATATATAACATACAATTTACCTGTATGAGGGCAAGGTTTCCCACCGGCCATGTAAATTTCGTAAGATCCGATACAGTCTTCGTGATGCCATCGACGCAAACGCGTAAAGTAAACGCGTTCTAGTTAAATGATTTAATGCTCTCCACATCCTCCACTAGCTTGTAAAAAGCATTAGGAACTTCTACCGTGGAGTGTGGTGCAAGAACTGTGCCTAGAAGAACCAACACAATTCGACGCAGGAAGTCATCATCATACAATCCACTAGTAGTGATGTCCTATATAAGCTGGTCTATCATTAGTTCATTCGTACTCGAATCTATGAAACGACTCGGCACCTTCACTTTTGCCTTTAGCCCCCCTTTACCTAAAGCTTTCATGGCATCTCTGCCCTTGTTCACTAGGCCAAAAATATCAAACACATCTTCGGCGCGCAATGATATCGCACCGTTTTTTGATGGCATAATGAACCTTTTTTTGTCCAATGCGTATGATTTAATAATAAATTTTAGGAGACACTTGCGCATGAGCACACTAGGAATCATCAACATTTGTCCGAGTCTAGTGCTTGCAAATCATTTTTTTGCCTAGAGGTCAGTTTGCTGACGAGGATACACCACTTCTCAACAGAACAGAAAATCTCTCCGTACTCCTTCATCACTATGAATAGGAGCAAATAATATATTAGCTAATTTGCATGTCTAGATGATTAACATGATGAATGCACCATTCAAAAAATATTAAAATTACCTCCCACCAGTACGGCTGTCGGTGGCCCGGGGGGCGGTGGTGTGTTGGTGGTGATGACGACGCCGACTGCGTCCTGTGAGGAACCGCGGCCGCCTACGTCAGAAACTGCAGCGGGGCCGTGACGTTGGATGGCGTGCTGTCGAGGGGACAGCGGACGAGGTCTTCTCCGACGGCAGCGGGCGGACGGCGGAGCTGCGTCACGGGGTCAGAGGAGTGGATGGACGGCGTCACGGGGCCAGGGGATCGGAGGCAGATGGCGGCGTGGGTTAGGGCTTGGGGCAGGGCGTCGTCGGTGACGAGAGCATATGGCGGCGGGCGTGCCAGGTGCTAATCATGATAGATTCGGTCGGGCCCGCGTCGCCTCTGTCAACAGTGCCGTCCGCAATGATTGGGCCGGGCCCCAGACGACGCGGGTGGACTAGCGTTCGCGTGCGGCTCTTCTAATTTAGTCCCACCTCGGCCGCCGAAGGATGTCCCGCTTTGTTTATATAGCCGCCTCCAGTAGTCCATGCATGGTCATATCTTATATTGTGATATGGCTCTACATAACTGCCAGGTAGTACACTGTCTAGCAGTGAACTGCCCGGCAGTTAGGTAAAGTCACATCACAGTATTAAATATGTTTATTTTGTCATTTCGTTTACTTTTTTAACTACAAATGAAAAACAAATTTTTTAAAATATGGTTCCGAACTACAAATTCGGTTTTTTTCCTACTCCGTCAAACGTCACGACACTTTTTTCACATGTTGGCATCACCATCCACAGCACTCACGCCAACTCGCGTATTTTTCCGACGCTCGACGCATTTTGTAGGATTTTTCAGGTCAAAAATCGCAAAAACACTGCCCGGACGTGACGCAACGTCCGTTTTGTGTCCGTTTTCGTTCCAACCTTGCGCGGGGGCCTACGTTGGCCATGCGCACATGAACACACACTTTGGTGCAATTGCCTGCATGCGATCATGTAGCCCCAGTGCAACCAGCTACTTGTCGGTCTGCCGGGGAGGGGG